TTTTTGTGTGATATCCCCCAGGCCATATCTGGTCCCGTTTCACTTTGATTACCCTGTCAAACAAGTCAGCCTTCGCCCCTGCTTATAGGGAGGTTGTACACGTGTTTGTTAGAAAGGTGTGTGGATTATTTATAGGAAAGATGGACTTAAACTTGTTGGAAAGATGTACAATGGTTTATAGGAAAGATGTACGTTTTTAAAATAATTTATAGGAAAGATGTGCAAGTGTTTATAGGAGTGATGTACGTACACACACAAACACACACACACACACACACACACACACACACACACACACACACACACACACACACACACACCACACACACACACACACACACACACACGTGTGTGAGTGTGTGTGTGTGTGTGTGTGTGTGTGAGAGAGAGAGTTGAAGTTATGAGGCCATAAGATAATGAAATACAAGTAGTTAAAATAGTTAGATCCGGTTCTGCGGCTTAATCACTAAAAGAATGTACAAAAATATAAGAACAAAAACAGAGGAAAGGCAAAAATGATGGGTGGTTTTAATGCATCCCATTGTAATTATAACTGTGCATATTACATAAAAAGGAAGACATACAGGTGAAGAAATGGAAATCGATTGGGCACTGAATGGGCAGACCCACGACAAACATCCTTAGACAGGCTTTGATGAGGAAATCGTAAGAAAGGAAGACCAAAGATGACATAAAGGAGAGCGGTACAAGCGGAAATGGAAAGCGACGGGACATCATGGAAACAGTTAGAAATTTATGCACAGGACAGGCTTCGCTGGAGTAATGTTGTTGATGGCCTATGCTCCACTGGGAGTTAAAAGGGGCAAGAGAGAGAGAGAGAGAGAGAGAGAGAGAGAGAGAGAGAGAGAGAGAGAGAGAGAGAGAGAGAGAGAGAGGGGGGGGGCGTATTTGGACGAGTGCCTGCACGTTTATAATATTATGTATTTATTTACCATGCGACAGCAAATTTCTCTTCTTAGAGAGAAATAAATACTTATCATATCATACCTTATCTTGTCTTATCTTATCTGTATATCATTGTTGAAATGAAATCTGTTATCTTTACTTTTTTAAAGCCAGAAATCAGCCAGTCCAGAGGATATTCTGATAATGACCTCCCCTCACCCTCCATTCTTAATCCTGCCCTTTCTGACTCTGACGTCACTTTTCCACCTCGGCCACGGAACACAAGTGAGACATGCGCAGTACCACACGTGGAAGTACAAATCCTTCCCGTCTGTGACGTCAGAAAACCTGTGTGCGTCTCGCTATTGTAACGGCTCGTTGATCGCGTGTACCGTGATGTGCAGCCTGCACCCTGATTGTACGAGCTTCACGTATAACCCTGCCAGCCAGACGTGTCTGAGGAATGTAGGGGACGCCCACACGTTTGGTAACTCGCTCATCTCGGCGACTGACGACACACACTACGTGGGGGAAGTTCTGGAAGATGGTGAGCATTCATCATCATCCGGTGCCTTGCCGACTGGCGTGTGCGATCATGGACCTCCACTTCCATCTGTCTTTCGAAGCAGCAATGGTGTCTGTTGTTCTTGCTGCTCCCAGCCATGTTGTCATCTTGTCCAGTATCTTTTCCCTCTGTCTGCCTCTACCTCTCTTTCCATCAAACTTTCCTGTTGTTACAATGTTCTCTAATGCTTCTTTCCGCATTGTGTGTCCGAAAAAATTTGCCTGTCGTTTTCTTATATTCGTGATAAGTTGTTTTCTATAATTTGCTTCAACCAGGACTTCTTCATTTGTTTTTCTAGCTGTCCATGGGATACGTAGCATGCGTCTCATGAACCACAACTCTGCCGCAACAATTGTTTTTTCCAGCTGTTTATTGATTGTCCATGCTTCGCACCCGTATAATAGGATTGGCTCGATGTAGCTTTTCATTACTCTTTTCCTCATTTCCAGTGACAGATTGATGTTTGTTAGTATCTATTTCATCTTGTGGAAGGTTGCTTTTGCTTGACAAATTGAGCATTGCCTTGGACAAAAAAGGAAAAGAAAAAGAAGTTGGGGTGGGGTGTGGAAGAAAAGAGTTGGGTGGGGTGTGTGATGGGAGAAGAGGGAGGTGTGTGTGT